AATAAAGACAATTTAGACGAGCCCATATCACACACTCCACTCTAAGGTTCATGTCAATGCCATTAGTAAAACGAGTCATTTGAACTTGGAAGTATTTCTTAATTGAAAGGAATACAAAAAATGCATTAAAAGAAGAAAAAACTTGAGACTATTTTAACTTTACCAACTCGCTTCACTCCAGAAATCTGCTTTGTTGGAACCTAATTGATGGTGTCAGGCAGATGATTCACCTGCCACGTGTTCTTTTCAAAATCCCAACCCCCTTTTTTTCAAACAGTTAACCAACACCTGCCTTGTCAATTTGTTGTTGTTGTCTTATGTACTGCAACAAATATCTAAAACTAACTAACGTTGGCCCCTTCAAAAGTTTGCAGAGTTACATGCTTTAGTCTGCAGGCTGTACTGAACTACTTATACCAAAGCACCTAAATAGTGACCATGCTTATATGCAGGGCAATGTTCACCGTTTTTAATTGAATGGATACGTATACAAACAAGCATGAAAATGTTTGCTATCACCGGACGTGTTATCACAGATCATTGGATTTCCAATGCATACAAAACAGCTAACTCCTGTTTGATAGTGACAAAAGGTGCTCACAGGAGCTCTACAAACATGCATTGTGAAATTGGAAATCAATATCTCTACAGACCTATGTAATCTGCCCTTATATCTGCTGGAGATGGAAGGTTTGAGGCTATATCAGCCCCTTCTTTTGTGGTACACTCAATCATCTGAAAAGTCTGCTGCCATTCACGTCACATTCTGACAAATACAAAGAACTTTAACCCAAGTGTATTCAGGATTGAAAAGGAAAAAGAAAAGGGTCACCTCTATCGGTTCAATTGGCAATGAGCTTCTTCTTTTTTTTTAAACGTAAAGTGTCACCCATGTCAGCCTCGCTTAATGCTAAATGAAATTGGGTGATGTAAACTATTTATCATAGTTGAATGTTAAATATTACGTATTAAGTCAGACTGAGGGATGGAGCATTCAATACTATTAATACAATATAAGAATAAGCTATTGATACAATATCAAAAAAACTAAAATATGATGATAACATGATCTGATCTGATGAAACTCAGGACAAAGCTAATTTCACATGAATTATGGAAAAAGGTTTTCTAATTTTGAATAAAAAATTCAAAAAATTAGATTGGGACATCCACTACGACAACCCTGTCTATCTTTGTGTTTTAACATTCTGACCAGAAGCTAAAATGCTTTTGTTTTTTTGTTCTTCCAATGGTATTGTTGAGGATTTTATTAAGGCACTAGGAAAGTGGGAGCAACTTGGTAAAATTCCTTACAGTTTCCTTACAGTTTCCTGACAGCTCCGATGACAGCTCCAACTTCTGCACATGGAAACATGTTTACAGTAAACTCTCACACAAGTAATTTTTTCCAACTTAATGTGTTGACTTCATCTTTCCAGTCAAACTTGACTATGAGCCAGAGTTTTCTGACTGCTTTCTGGTGCCTAGAGTAACAGGATAACTCCCTTCTATTGCAACCTTTTAATTAGGTTTCGTGAAACTAGCTGGATACCAATAAAAGTCTTGTGGAGACTTCATCCTCCAGGAACTATTAATATTTCACAAAATGTCATGGTTCTCCATAAAGTATGTTTCGTTATATGAAGGAAGAAGTAAAACCAGAGCAGAAAGAATAAAACCCTCGGACCAAGAATGCAACTGTGAATTTTTTGGGGATATCTCATCTTAAAACGCTTAAGTCACCTTTTTTATAAACAGTCCTTTTACAGCTTACTTTTTCCCCACAGACTAAAATCAATGTTTGCCTCTAGTCTTTAAGATTAATGAATACTGTAAAGGGCTGCATACAAATGGATTCATATTCTACATATGGTACATATGGTTTTCATATTCTTATTTATAACTAACTTTCTGTTCAGACAAATACTAAATAAAAAAATATTTGGAAGAACTTATTTTGTGAAATACCCTCATGCTTTGCTGACTAACTTCCTCCTTTTATCTATGAGGAAAGAGGTAATCATTCAAACATGCCACTGTAACAATGAAAATGCAGGAGAAGTGGGTGTGTTTTCAGAGCATCTGACATGCAGAAGTGTTTCTCTAATCATACAGGTCAGTGCAACAGAAGTTGACTTCTTTATTTTTCACAACCACTATTCTTTGTACGAAGCTGCTACTAAAGAAATGTTTCCACTGTTTGATGTAACTGTTCTACAGAGCATTTTAAGACCAATCCCAGGCCTGAGTGTGAGGAAAAGGAGGTTTTATGTGAATATAACTACGAGGAGAGGAAACGCCAGTATTTAACCTAAAGTCAGATTTGAAAAGGGTCAAACAGTATCGGTTTTCCACTGATAAAACTCTGGTTCATGCCATACCCTGTTTCAAACCCCCCACACCCCACCATGAAGTGGTTTCCTTGTTAGGCCTGTGCTGCAATAATCATCAGTGCACATTAGGAGTTAGGACACTTCCACATGCCATGCCAGACAGCTGTTATTATAACAGTAACTTTTTTATGGTGGAAACATTTATGTCTCACCTCAGATTTTAGCACAAAAATAATATTCATCCAATATCAATAGCTTTTTCAATAAATTCTGAATAGACCATTCATGACCATTCAAATCATATTTAATTGCATGAACGTGTGCGTTTGAAATGATTTTATGAGATTTTCTGAGTTTTCCAATTATTAATCTATCTAAAAATAAATTGCCCCCAGAATTGACCTTTTTGCTTCATAAATCCAACCTGGAGACAGCCTTTGGATGCAGCATTTTCTAAGCATTGATAACGTAAAGGAGTGTATTACAGCCCTTCAGGGGAAGAGGGGAAAATCTAACATTTAACAATTTAGCTGCAATGAATAAAATGCCAGTGAGAAGCAGATTAAAAGTTGCCTTGATGTCAACATTTGCATTAGTCCACTTAACTGTGAAAATTTGTAGAGATAAAGCATATTTCCCTATAGAAAATAATCTAAATATACCATAGCGTTAAGTCAAAAGAATTCAATCACATCCCTTTTTCTGTCTCCTCAAAACCATTTTACTATGATCTGTGTAAATCCTATTCACATTAGCATGATACTGCATAAAGTCAATACACAATATGGCTCCCTTGCTTTGCTCCTTTTCTTCCTCACCATAAAGCCAATGAAAGTATTTTCCTGATAGTGAGTTATTAAGTTTGATGTGAAACGGCAATGTTTTACTACCAGGCACATAAGATGTACAAATATTGTGATAGGATAAAGCTCAAGCTCTCGATTGTGAACATCCATATCCACCTATCAGACCAGACTGTGAACGTGAGAGTGACATTCAGTTTGGGTACACTTGCTAATGCAAACCGATTAAATTCCTTATTTTTTTGTGTTGTTGCCTCTATGCTTTGGCAGCTTCACCATTACAATTGGTCCAGTAAATACTACTACCTCCGATGGGAGTAAGGCTGTAACAAAGACAAGTTGAAAGCACAACATTATAGTGCTGTGCAAAAGATGGTGGACCATAGTTTTCTGAATACTTCTACTTTTTTTAATTCGTTTTGGCACGACAGAGCAGAAGTTACAGAGTTTAGCTACCAGCCATCTAAAAGACAGCTAAGTTAGCTGGCTAGCAAAAAAGAAACCATGTTGTTTGCTGATTATTGTATAGTTGCAAATTTAGCCTGACAAGTTAATAGTTACAAAAGTTAGCTAATACAAATAGCTAAGTGTACTGAGCACATAAAAATACAAAATTCCTAAAAATAATTTCTTAGTTTACTTGTTGTGAGTACATCTAAAGTTTATACATACACAATGTAGTCTTCTTCACATGTATTATAATTGATATAACAAAACAGAGGTGAAACTTTTCAATAGGTGGAAATGTCCAACACTTTAAAATGACGTTTTCTAATCTCACAAAACATTTCTAAGTGACAACTTATTTTTAAGCCAGTCGGAAACAGGCCTGCTGAAGTTAATTGCAGCTTCATCTGTAATCACTGGGTTATACCTTATCGTAGAATATAATAAAAATAGAATAGAAATCATAAAAGATGTTGGGTGAATAACACAACGTGTGCTTTTGAGTAGTTCACAGACACTGACATTTTTATATAATTTCAGGAGCGCTTCGTTTTGTTGTTATTTAGATCTGATTTAATTCAATGTTAATTCAATTTAATTCAACCGTTATTTTGTCAAATGTTTAACTTTTAATTTTCCCGATCAGTGTCAAAATTATATCTAATCTAATCAATTTGTCTGGTGAAGATCTAACTCACAAAACATAGTCACTGCTCACCATTGTGGTTGAAACAGAAAATTAAATTACATTAACCTCCTGAGACCCGAGCTTTTATTTGGCATGCATTTTAGCTTTTTTTTTAAAGATATATGAGATACATATTTAATTAAATGTTTTTACAATTTTGTTCTGACAGTCCCATTGACTTATTTACATTTTTTCTATTACACAATAAGAACATGATTGGATGGAAATGTATAAAACCATTTTACTTTAGATTTCGAACAGTGTCTGATAGCATCTGCTATGAGGCCAAGAGGTCAAAGCTGAAAGAAAAAAAGAAGTATCATGGTAAAGAGAGACAAAAATGCAACGTCCTCTTATGAGGACACAGGGTCTCAGGAGGATAACAGATTCTGAAGTTTCAGCCTGTAATAGTAATAGCTGTAAAGCTGAGAATGAATTCCTCTCCACATTTCCAATGGTACTGAACTTCTGCAAGGAGTACCATTTTTCCCATACTGACATGTTTAGACTACATATCAGGAAGTGAAACAATGTAAACAGAGATATTTTTCAGAGCTTCCTGAAAATAAATACCACCTCCAAATACATGACGCAACAGAGCTTCTGTCTGACAGCAAAGCATCATTTGCTGTTTGGGCTAGATTGTTGGTGGAAAGATATCAATTTATTTTCCTTCAATTGAAAAATCCCACATATCCCACATGTTTGTCAGACAAAGTTGCTCCTACCTCACAAACTGCTGTTATGAGCTCGCAAGGAGGGAGTGTGTGTGAGCATGAAGCTCTCAGTACACTGCTGACTGCTTGCAGAAGGTGACCTGCGAGGTGAGCGCTGAAAACGACTCCGTCGGCTGAAGTAGCTGCCTGCCGTCCATGAGCGCTTGTGCTTCCTCAGGTATTCCTTATAATTCTTGGTGAGCAGGGTGTAGAGGAACGGATTGATGCAGCTGTTAGAGTACGTCAGGCATGTGGTCAGGTAGTTGATGTTGCGTTTGGCTTTGGTGGAGAGGGACAGTGAAGGGTAGAACTGACCTAGCAGCTGCCAGATCCAGAAAGGCAGGAAGCATGCCCAAAAGAGGAGCACGATGGTGAAAATCAGGTACAGCACCTTGACAGACATAAGACAATGGACAGTTCCATCAATAAAACTCTGTGATATGTGTGACCACATGGTGTCACAAATTCACTACTGTTACAAGTGTCAAACCAACTGTTTAAAACAAATCCACCCCGCTAATAGTGAGAAATGCGTCAATTTAAAGGAAATATTTTGGTGACAAAAAAGGCTGTAAAAGTAAGACTCCAAAAGAGGAGAATGTTGAAGTGAATCAGTCATAGTTCTGGAACATGACTTCTCGCGGTAGAGTCTCTCAAAAGTAAAGATTGGCAATGGTTCAGCCATATCCCCAAAATGTATAAAAACAACTTTGGAATAATTTAGAATTCAGACTTTTGAAGGATGGCATTATACAATTTTAAATTCCAATTTTATGAGATATCCTGTGACCTTAGATTGTATTGACTGGTCATGTAAAATATGAATAACAGAACTATTAATTTACCCAAAAACACATAGAAGATTTTGACATGTAAGCAATGAAATGGGCTACTACTGGCATTTTCACTATTAAGCACACCTGAAAATAATCTGCATACACTTTAACTTAAAAAAAAGTAATATTATGAACAGCACAAAAAATACTTTTGCTGAATATATAATTAAATATGTACTGGTAACTTATAAAAAATCAGGTTTTTCCAACCTGCTCTATAATTTTAGTGGCCTGACTTGACGAGGCTAATGTTTTTGGAGCATGAAGCTTGTTAGCCCGTATGAATCCATAAATTAGCTACATCATTGTTTAAGCCGCAGTTTTCAAAGTATGTGAAAAAATCATTGGCTTATAGACTGGAAATCATGGTATTCTATTCCTCCCCATGTGTTTAATAGGCACATAGAAAGTTTATTCATATCATACGTAAAATTAAGCTGTCCATTAGCTAATGAAAATGCTAGCACACTTCCTTCAATGAAGAGTATTGAAATACATCTAGATAAATAAAATATTTCAGCCTTGTAATGGCAAAGGTGCTGTGTGATTGATTCAGGATTTAGTGATATTGGGATTTGAACATACGCTACCGTTCAAAGGTTTGGGGTCGCATTGAAATTTCCTTATTTTTGAAGGAAAAGCACTGTACTTTTCAATGAAGATAACTTTAAACTAGTCTAAACTTTAAAGAAATACACTCTATACATTGCTAATGTGGTAAATGACTTTTCTAGCAGCAAATGACTGGTTTTTGGTGCAATATCTACATAGGTGTATAGAGGCCCATTTCCAGCAACTATCACTCCAGTGTTCTAATGGTACAATGTGTTTGCTCATTGGCTCAGAAGGCTAACTGATGAATAGAAAACCCTTTTACAATCATGTTCACACATCTGAAAACAGTTTAGTTCTTTTAAGCTACTAAACTGACCTTCCTTTGAGCAGATTGAGTTTCTGGAGCATCACATCTGTGGGGTCAATTAAACGCTCAAAATGGCCAGAAAAAGAGAACTTTCATCTGAAACTTGACAGTCTATTCTTGTTCTTAGAAATGAAGGCTATTCCATGCGAAAAATTGCTAAGAAATTGAAGATTTCCTACAACGGTGTGTACTACTCCCTTCAGAGGACAGCACAAACAGGCTCTAACCGGACTAGAAAAAGAAGTTGGAGGCCGCGTTGCACAACTGAGCAAGAAGATAAGTACATTAGAGTCTCTAGTTTGAGAAACAGACGCCTCACAGGTCCCCAACTGGCATCTTCATTAAATAGTACCCGCAAAACACCAGTGTCAACATCTACAGTGAAAAGGCGGCTGCGGGATTCTGGGCTTCAGGGCAGAGTGGCAAAGAAAAAGCCATATCTGAGACTGGCCAATAAAAGAAAAAGATCAAGATGGGCAAAAGAACACAGACATTGGACAGAGGAAGACTGGAAAAAAGTGTTGTGGACAGATGAATCCAAGTTTGAGATGTTAGGATCCCAAAGGAGAACGTTTGTGAGACGCAGAACAAATGAAAAGATGCTGGAAGAATGCCTGACACCATCAGTTAGGCATGTGGTAATGTGATGGTCTGGGGTTTCTCTTGTGCTGGTACGGTGGGAGATTTGTACAGGGTGAAAGGGATTCTGAATAAGGAAGGCTATCACTCCATTTTGCAACACCACGCCATACCCAGTGGACAGCGCTTGATTGGAGCCAATTTCATCCTACAACAGGACAATGACCCTAAACACACCTCCAAATTGTGCCAGAACTATTTAGAGCAGAAGCAGGCTGCTGATATTCTATCGGTAATGGAGTGGCCAGCGCAGTCACCAGATCTGAACCCCATTGAGCTGTTGTGGGAGCAGCTTGACCGTTTGGTACGCAAGAAGTGCCCATCCAACCAATCCAACTTGTGGGAGCTGCTTCTGGAAGCGTGGGGTGCAATATCCCCAGATTACCTGAACAAATTAACAGCTAGAATGCCAAAGCTCTGCAATGCTGTAATTGCTGCAAATGGAGGATTCGTTGACGAAAGCAAAGTTTGATGTAAAAAAAAATCTTATTTCAAATACAAATCATTATTTCTAACCTTGTTAACATCTTGACTCTATTTTCTATTAATTTCACAACGTATGGTGGTGAATAAGTGAGACTTTTCATGGAAACACCAAATTTTTTGGGCGACCCCAAACTTTTGAACGGTAGTGTATATCTTCACATCAAACCAAAGTGGATGTTGCTGCTCATTCTCATATATGACATTGCTGTTATCTAATATTTTTTCTTTAAAATTAAAAATACATTTTCATCCTGCATTCTAGCTATTTTTTGCATCATGACTGAGAATGTCTTTCATCTTTGTGAATATAGAGCCACGGACATCCACAGGAAAGAGGTTGAAGGGAATTAAGTTGGTTCGGACAGGTTTGAATTATACTAACAATTACATTTTTTATTTTCACTATGACCACAGTTTTGATCAACAGTGAAACCAAAAAGGCATCAATGCTGATAAGGTTTTTGTAAAATACAGTCACAAGTCAAATTATATGAAGTATCTTACAGTGCACTAACCTTTTGATTAGGTAGTTTCTTGGTTTGTTTAAAAGTTTCAGTTTGTGAAATCCAATAAGTGCGCGCTAGCTGGATGTAAAGGTAGCCGATGATCAGTCCTGGAGCAACAATGCTTGTGCAAAACAGGAAGGAGATGTAAATCTTGTAAGACAGAGGGGATAAGGTGGGCTGACACATAGCCTTGGTGCCCACTGTCATTAGCTGGATGCTCACAATCATTGGCAGGGTGAGAATGAGAGAGGCTGCCCATACCAGCAGCGCAATGGCCTTTCGGTAACTTTTAGACCTCTTGACTGTGTCTAGTGGTTTGAGGACTGCAAAATAACGCTCCGTGCTCATGACTGTCAACGTGAAGATGCTGGCATGCATGGTCAGGAAGTCCATGCTGATGAGTATCCGACAACCCGCATCTCCAAAGTACCATCCCTTTAAGAAGTGTGTGCAGACTACAAACGGGATGGTGAGAAGATACAGCAAATCTGCCAGAGCCAAATTTATAATGTAGATGTACATTGAGGCCGCAGTTCTCATGGAGTGGAACATGACCACAAGTGTGTAGATGTTCCCTGAGACTCCGATGAGGCACATGATGGACAAGATGGTACCAATGGTGAAGGTAGCAGCTGTATCCTCGTGAGAGCTCAGTGGGGGGTTGGTGGCATTGGTACTTCTTCCCACCAGGACTCCCACAGGCTCCATGGACACTGTTGTCATGCCTGGAAGGACAGGACAATAAAGGCATAAGGTTTTAAAGAAAACGTATTAAACTCTTGTTTAATCACACACACTGATCCCTAAACAATGACTGTACAAAAGTTTGTTTTATATCAGTAACTTTCAACAGAATCTTTCTACTGGACAATGTGGACTCCCCTTTGTAAGAGATGTTAGACGAAGTGAAGACTAAACGTTCTCTGCATTGGTCCTGAAATGACACCTGGCTTATGCACCTCAGAGTAAGGCTCAATGTCAAATTCCTTGCAGATTCTGTGCAGATTCCAAGAATCTGCACAGATTCTTAGAGGTCTTTATTCAATGTGATATTGCAAGTGTTTTAACGTTATTGTCTTTTTTCATGCTTGCAGGATTGTTTTAATTTGTTCTTATTACTCATGGCTGATTAATCAGATTTGTAGCATCAAAAAATAAACATACTGATTGTTCTCAGGCACATTCAAAGGGTCATGTCCCGTATAACCCAAGTTAGTGACTGGCCTGAATACAGAACTGACTTGTTCACTCATATAGCTGTTAGTTTGGACAGTGTCTCAGGCCTTGCTTAACACAATGGCACACAATTCTATTGAAAGCCCTCTGATGTCACAAACTTACGACATGATGAGTTGGTAGTTTTCTCAAAGAGACAGAGCCAAATATATCTCAGCTGATGCAATTATTAAAGTTGCGTTTTACAAAGTCACCTAGGTCTCTCTGTGATCACTTTAGTCTGACCACAGAGACGTACAGAAATACCTGATAACGTATTCCTTCTTAGGAAGGAAATAGTTTTAAAAAAGCAGTCCACAATCATTTCAGATTTGGTTGATATGGCACACTAACAGACAGATATTTCTTCTGGGAAATTCCAATTTTTTATCTGCAAATCAAAGTGAAGTGGATTTCACACTCTCTTACCTGTGCCGATTTCTTGGACGGTAGGGTTTAACACTCAGCTGGGGTTCCATCAGCCATGCTTTGTCTCACTTTGCTCCTCTAAACTTAGCATCTATTACAAAAATGTGTCCCGTCATATCCTAAAGAGTAATTCAGAGGTGAAACATACAGGTGGAGCAAACTAGGATAAAAATAGAAATGTTTTTAAATCTTATCCCCAGCACTTTCAAGGTGGAAAAATAAACTCACTGAGGTGCACATCACAAAAATTGCCCTGCACTGTTGACTTGTTTCTCCACATTACATTAATTAATCCATAGTGTCCACAGTCACGGGATTAGGTGCACTAATTGCTGGGTTAAAAGTTCTCCTCCGTTTTCACTGCCCTTTGAACACCTCTGTTGCATTCGAACAATGGTTGTCGGATGTGACATCCACAGCAGGAAAAAATCCAACTCCAAGGAGAAAATTCTTAAGAAAAAAACAAAAAAACGATAGAGGACATCAATGAAACAGTGGTAAGTGAGGATTACAATAAGCTATAGCTGGTTACGGAGAACCCTGTCTTTGACTGAACAAGAGGAATAGAGCGAGGGAGAGGGAGTGTGTGTAAGAGGTAGACAGAGGGGAGGGAGAGAGAGGGAGGAACACTATGGTCGAGCAGCGCTCTTGCTTGTAAGCCCAAAGAGGGAGGGAGAAGACGGAGAGAACGGGCAGCAGAGAGGTATGCAGGAAATGTGTTCTGCTCCCTCTCCAACCCCGTGCCATCTATTTCCATGCAAACAGGGGCGTGTGCCACAAACTGATATGCAACACTGGGACTTCAAACACATTAGGCACTGACAGAACAGCCCCTCAGGCTCAAAGACACTCATGCACTAAATAAATCAAAAGAAGAAATTCTCCCACAGTGCCCATTATTTCCTGTGAGTGATGCCCAGGGCCAGTGTCACTTACTGGTACGGACAGCAATTCTTCCAAATGTAGGCATCAAACATCATTTCTGCAGCAGGAATGATCCATGTTAATCAATTTATTTGGCCTTTTGTTGCTACCAGCTACAAGGTCACTGGAATTAAAAGAAATGGATACTTAAATGGTGGAATATAGCTGCGTATGTCATTTATGACTAGGAAGATCCATTTTATTGGATTAAAATGACAAAAGTGTGCCGTTACATTTTTTTTACAATCTGATGTTTCTTTTGCTTTTCAAGGTGGGTTCAGACTAACCAAAAATTATACTGTCTTAATCAATAAGCATGTGATTAGACAGCTTTTGGTTTAATGCTTCAAAACCTTTAAAAACAGTTTCACGGTACATGGTAGAGCAATGGCATGTACATTTACTCATTGGTTATTTTTCATTGAAGAATATCAGAATATGTGGGCAGTTTTATCAGTCTCTTCATCTGTTTTATAAAATCTACATCTTAGGAATGCTCAAATTTAATTTTTGTTGCAGTTAACATGGATGTAGATTAAACCAGTGAACAGACTGAATTAAAAAAAAAAGTGATCAAAGCTCAAGGACTCTGTGACCTCACAGTATAAAAGTGCCTCCCGAGTAATAGCAGGAAGAATTCATTTTATTCCATTCATGTCTACTGGTGGAGAAAGGATTCCAGCTCCTCAATGCACTGATACATTCTCATATACCAACAGCAGGGAGGGATGAGGTGCCATCTTTGCAATGAGATTGAAATAACTTTAATAGCTCTGTTGGAAAAATAGCAAAGGATTCAAAGCAAAACCCCTACAATCTGACTGAACAAAACCGAATCAAGTGTGAGCATACTTGTACATTTTGTGAACATTTGTTTTATAATGGAGTGACAACAGAAGCTAGAACAATTTAAACAGCTGGAAAAACCACACAATAAGAACAGACATGCCTGTTTAAATTAAATAAATTTTGATTTATATAGCACCAAATCACAACAACAGTTATCTCATAGCGCTTTCCAAACAGAGCAGGTCAGACCCTACTCTGAGTTATTTACAGAGGCCCAACAATTCCCACCAAGAGCAAGCACCTGGCGACACAGGGAAGGAAAAACTTCCTTTTAAGAGGCAGAAACCTCGAGCAGAACCATGGCTCAGGGTGAGCGGCCATCTGCCTCGGCCTGTTGGGGGTGAGAGACAGAGAGGGCAAGAGAGTTCAAGTCTCTGTAATAGGATCTGATGGTCAATGGTGTTAATAGCAGCACTAAGATCTATTGAAACCAATACGGTGACAAGTCCTAAGTCTGATGCCGTTAGGAGGTTATTAGTAATTTTCACCAGTGCTCCATCATGTGCTATGATGAGCTATGATGAGCTCTAAATCCAGCCATCCATCCATCCATTATCTTTACCGCTTATTCCTTGATGGGGTCGCGGGTAGAACTGGAGCCTATTCCAGTGGTCAATGGGCGAGAGGCGGGGTACCCCTAGGACTGTGGGAGGAAGCCGAAGAACCTGGAGAGAACCCGCGTAGACATAGGGAGAACATGCAAACTCCACACAGAAAGGTGCCAAATCCCAACAAATCAAAATCCATTCAAGTTCATTCAATTAAAAACTATCAAAGTTACCATCTCTCTTTATTGGACACCACATTTGTATTATACCATGGATTGATCTCTCAGTTTCAACCATTATATTTTGTTTTCAAAAAGTGTTTTCAACAAATGGAAAAAAAAGAACAACAGCCCGTACCTATAAAACTTCAATATATTACAAAATGATTAACTTAATGTATTCGTGCATGATAGTGGACAAGCGACATAATTTAAATTTTGCTTTTGTAGTCTGTAACATACAGTATCCAATCCCAGGACTGTGGTAGGGACAGGGCTTTAGAGCAAAGGAGTCATAAATACCTCAGCTTGGTCATGCGTCCATCAAAGGGCCACATAGTATGACAGTTTCTGATAGAAATTTGACCTTTTTGTGCGGCCAAAATTGGAACACTCTTTCAAACTCTTTTTTCCACGTTCCAGTGGTAGTTGCTTGATATTGTCTATGCAGCAGTGTGTTCAGAACTTGACCATAAACTCATTCCCAACAAGGTAGACTAGTAACTTTACTTGTTCAACCACACAAGGAGGTATTATTACACTAAATTCCAAATGTCATTTCTAACAAAATTCCTTTTTGAGACAATAAAGCCGCTTCAAAAGATCTCAGTTTTGTTGAAGGCTTGTTACCAATCAATCTAGTTTCCTATTTATCTTGTCCTGAGTGTCGGTGTCAGTACCAGGCTTTATGGTTGGTAACTGTGTCCTCTGTAAAGTAAAGAGAGCGGAGTCCTCTCTCGCAACCCCAAGTACAGCAACTTTTCTATATAAGTATGACGTCTTTTTCTCATGAATGTCAATAGGATCTGGGGCTGATAAAACCAACCACCAGAGTTCTGTATCAACCTGGTTATCTGTAAGAAATACTTGAGACAGACCTTCATTCAGGCTTCTGTACCATGTGTTCCATTGACACTGGCTATCTATTGAAGGGAATTTGAACATGGAAGGTTTTTTTTAAGGGTATGTTGTATTTCTCTGAGGGCAGAATATTTAATGGCTTTATGGTCTTGTCTTCAAGACACACGTTTGTTGCTACATAAATTATACTGACTGCTTTTGATGGTGTATTATGACAAAAGTAAAACATCCAATCACCTTTATTTAGTTAGCAGCTAGGTGATAACATTCATGAAATGTTTGTTACAGAAGTAAAATTATACATATACGCTGAAACAAAAACTTGAATACATGAAAAAGACATGTGACAGCATGCAGTTGCCTTTATAAGATAATTCAATTTTGGACAATTACAGTCAGAATCAAGCTGGTGAAACAAGGCAACCTGTCAGTCAAAACTGCCAGCAGCCTCTTTGCTGCCCCACTGCTGGATGACAGGAATGATATGCTGGCATGCAATGCCCTGTTCTGGAGGAGTCAATGAGTGTGTGTGAGAGGTTGCATGGCATGTACATAACTTGTCTGTGAGATCTTATCACAGCAGTGGTCACATTTCTCTTGTGCTGTGTGGATTTAGAGGTCACCCTCATGAAATAAGAGGCCACATGTAAAGGGCTTAACAGAGCACCGATGCGAGGCT